TAGAATAAAACCAACATCTTGTTCACTTCATACACATGCTTCAGCATACATATGAACGCCATATTTTCTTTATATATCATAAGCACAGAATTGCGCCAAAAATGTGTGTCGAACAGTTCTTCATTATTAATGAAAGTACTAGGGGTAATACTAATACTCTCGGAAAATGCAATCAAGTACACACTTCCCCAATACATAGTTAATTCTTGGTGCAAGAAGCAAAAATGAACAGACTACAATGACAAGTGATAGGTAGATATATAGACAATCCCGCAGTTCATTCATTCATTCTACAGGGGAAGAAGCATAGAGGGTTCAAGCACAAGCAACAAGTAGCAAACGGATAAGCAACGACAACTGGCTGAAGTAGTGGAACACCATCATGCACCACTGTAGTTCCTTGGGGTACCACCAGCGAACATAACTTGATGGGGATAGTGGTTGTATCATCCAGAGGAGAAACATTGGACATCTCATCAAGGGGCTTAGCTTAGACTTCAGATATCTCATTGTTGGGCCCAGACGGGCTCAATGGTTCATCAAGGGACACCTAAAAAAAATTCAGAGCCGTAGAAGGACAGCGGTTTACTCCTATAAGGGTCGAGGATGCCTCTTCTCCGGTACTCCACCACAAGGGCAACCACGGTGAGGAGCTCGCCGCCGTTGCTCAGCTGCTTGGCATGAGAACACCCGCTGCATTGGTACCCAGCGTAACACAACATCTCCATCCACACCTCGACGATCATCTCCAGCGGAGCAGGTGGGCCAGATTCTGGAGAGACCAATTCCTGAGCAAGTTTGCGTGCATCACACACTGTACTATTGTCGGCAAGGGAAATATTGACCCCTTTAGCAAACTGGCCAAATCATGTGCTGAGGTGTATTTGAGACTGGCGATGGTGAGGGAGTAGCACAAATTAACATATGTGGTGCGGCTGACAGAGCCCGGCAACATGTAGGGGCGTGCTGCAAGGAGGAAAAGCATGTAATTGGACATCACCTCCGCAAGATGGCGCATATCATCTGCAACAGCTTCCCCCTGATCTTTGTGCCAACAGAGGTAGATATTGGTGGCGATATGCCACACAAGGATGCTCTCATCAAACTCCTTATGCAGGAATTCCCCCAATTTCGCGTACAACTTCCACCTCTCTAAGGCCGCCCGGCCCCGTGAGTTAATTATGTGATCTGGCTCCAGCGTGGTATAGGAGTACGGCCTGTGGTAGCTTAGCATATAGCTCTGCCTACTCTTGAGCACTAGTTGCACCACTGGTTCCTTAATAGTTGTGGATACAGGGATGGACCATGAGTAGACCATCGTGTTCCACCAGTCCGGCCTCGACCCCCATCCTGCCCGCGATCCTGCTTCCTTGGCTGGCCCTGCTGCGAACGCACAATTCAAAAATGTTGTGCTGCCCCATAGAGTCCGACCACCACCATCTCGACGTGTACCTCAATGGAAGGATGAACCGGCGGATAGACGCGATTGCACGGGCAAGCAAACCCCACACGCGCCTTTCTTTTCCGGCGGCATTGTAGGCCAGTTTCCATAGTACCAGGCTTGGCCATCTCGAGAACATGGCCCTTAGCACCGAAACCAACTCCAGCATAACCGCCCCACTTAGCAGAATATAAGTGATGACAACGTCAGCTCTGCTATGGTGGTGGTCACCCGCACCCGACTTGTGGAATAGCTCGAACGCGACGGCGGTGAACACCGGAGAAATGATGCGGATACAGATGCCATACCATGTGTGGATCACCACGGCCTTGCTGTACACGACGTCGTGCATCAGGCTGAGCTGCATCTCCACCACCTTGTACAGCTCATCCGTGTAGATGGTCGTCTTGGCGTGGACATCACCGCATAGGTGTGCGGGTACCACTACGACGGGCAACGGCCCTTCAAACATTTCCTTTGGCACTTCTGCTTCGGTACACCCCCTTTAAACACATCAACGGTTGAGATTACCCCATACCCCTTCATAATAAAGGGCAAGATAGTTTTTTTAAAGTACGTCGCGAGAACTCGTTCGTATAAGAATTGCACCTCACGACTGGGCCGGCCCATTAAGCAATGTCCCTCCTACCACTTTCAATCTAAGTGATGTAAAAATACTGATTTAAAAGATGACCTCGTGAGGACTTGAAGTCAAGACCTCCCACATAAAGACAAGCGCTGCTAACCACTTCATTCCACCAGAATTCGTGGTAATATCTAGCGCCAAATATATAAGAAAACACAAGAGCGTTAATATATAAGAAATATTTTCTGAAAAATCGAAACTTTTCCAAACATCTTCAGAAACATGTTGTGGTTTTATTTTTCGGTTTTTGTTTGTCTCGTTTTCCTTCTATTTTTTACTTTTATCTTTTTTCATTTTATTTTATTTACTAAAAAATTTAAACTATTTTTAAATCATCAACCTTTTTCTTAAAACCGTGAACTTTTCAAATTCATGAATATTTTCGTAAATTCACGAACTTTGTTTTCAAATATGTGAACTTTTTTCAATCCATGAACCCTATTTAAATTTTACGAACATTTGTCAAAGCCTGCAATTTCTTTTTCAAATTCATGAAAATGTGTTTTAAAAATTGATGAAATTTTCTTAAATTCGCGAACGATTGTGTTGGCCCAACAGGAACAGGACGGGAGCGACGTTGTCGCCTAGTTGAACCAAGGCTGAGAATATTTTATTATTTTCTCTTTTTTCGTTTTCTTTTATTTTTTCATTAATTCATTTTTATCATTTGTGAAATTTACTATTCTTTTTGTTACCTGTTAAAAATTGAAATATTTTTGGAATGCCACAAACTGTTGTTGTTTTCAAATATTGCTTACAGTTTTGGAAACTATTTGGGAATTTGAAAAAATTGTTCGTATTTTTGAAAATTTTTGTTCACAAATTTAACAAATGTTTGCGTTTCAAAATATTGATTTAAAAAAAAACCATGTGGTTTGCAATTTGTGTACAACATCAAGTGTTCAAGTTTCTAAAATTTTCGTATACAATTTAAATTTCTAAAATTGTTGACAAATTTCAAGAAATTGTTTGGATATAAGAAAAGGTTCATGTTGATTGATAATGACGGAAATTACAAATAACATAGACATTCAAATTAGAGAAAACTACATGCTCACACATGCACCCGTCTCGCCTAGTCTAGCACACTCCTAAAAATAGTAATTTTTTTGGACCATGGATAAATGACACCAGTTTATCTCACGTGTGGGCATGCCCAAGGTAGTACCCAACGCAAAAATTGAACGAATTCAGACACCCAAACGCATGCTGCGTCACGTGCGGGTAGTATTTTAGGGGGCTTCACTGGGAAAACCATAGAAAATGCATATAATATCTGAAAGTAATGAAACATATCATGCAAAATTTGAACGAATTCGGACACCAAACACACGTTGCGCCACATGCGGGCAATATTTTAGGGCTTTATCACGGGGAAAACCATAGAAAATGCATAGAACGTCAGAAAGCAATGAAACTTGGCATGCATGCCTTCCATGGTGATGCCAATGTGTGGAAATAAATTGATTCCATTTTATGGTCCTAAACCTGCTTTGAGACTTGTCGTGCCAGCAAACCTGAACGAACCCGGTTGAACATGGTGTAGGTTCTGTCGTGCATGAAATGGCAGCGAATGTTGCCAATGTATGGCCATGCCCAAGGTAGTCACCCACGCAAAACTTGAATGAATTCGAACACCGAACACATGTTGCGTCATGTGCGGGCAGTATTTTAGGGGTTTCAGTGGGAAAACCCTAGAGACTGCATATAATGTGAGAAAGCAAAAAACATGGCATGCATGCCTTCCATGGTGATGCCCGTTTGTGGATTTTTTTTCTATCCATTTGGTTCTTGTGGCTCAGACTAGCCACCACACTCCAGCTACGTCGGTTCAATCTCATCATTGTCGCTCCGATCTAATCGACGCTACTCCTCGAAGACATCCATCTTTGGACAGTGCTCATGTTCTAGTAGGGGTTTGTCCTGTTGTGCTTGGTTGTTTATGTCTTGTTGTATGGTAGCAAACTCTAATATATATTGGAAGAAAATTTTGTTTTCTTTGGAAGAAAATTATGATGTCATTTATAAGCAAAATGTTGATGGAAGCATACATCAATTAGAAAGTTGGCCATTGAAAAAAATTCAACATCATAGGAAGCATATGCTCATTTTGTTTGAAGCAGATGTATTTGTTGGTCGCACATGTATGCTACACCATCTTACGAAATTTTTTATGGTACATGTCTCTATTTTGCTTCCTGCCCAAAAGAATGAAGCTTCGGTTACACAATAACCTAGAGGTGTAGGTTTTCACGAAACATTTATGCTTCCTACACAGTTCAAGTGTTCAACAAAGTTCCGGTTAGACATTAATCATACTTCAAACAACAACACATTAGGCATCTTACGAATTTTTTTATGGTACATGTCTCTATTTTGCTTCCTGCCCAAAAGAATGAAGCTTCGGTTACACAATAACCTAGAGGTGTAGGTTTTCACGAAACATTTATGCTTCCTACACAGTTCAAGTGTTCAACAAAGTTCCGGTTAGACATTAATCATACTTCAAACAACAACACATTAGGCATCTTACGAAATTTTTTATGGTACATGTCTCTATTTTGCTTCCTGCCCAAAAGAATGAAGCTTCGGTTACACAATAACCTAGAGGTGTAGGTTTTCACGAAACATTTATGCTTCCTACACAGTTCAAGTGTTCAACAAAGTTCCGGTTAGACATTAATCATACTTCAAACAACAACACATTAGGCATCTTACGAATTTTTTTATGGTACATGTCTCTATTTTGCTTCCTGCCCAAAAGAATGAAGCTTCGGTTACACAATAACCTAGAGGTGTAGGTTTTCACGAAACATTTATGCTTCCTACACAGTTCAAGTGTTCAACAAAGTTCCGGTTAGACATTAATCATACTTCAAACAACAACACATTAGGCATCTTACGAAATTTTTTATGGTACATGTCTCTATTTTGCTTCCTGCCCAAAAGAATGAAGCTTCGGTTACACAATAACCTAGAGGTGTAGGTTTTCACGAAACATTTATGCTTCCTACACAGTTCAAGTGTTCAACAAAGTTCCGGTTAGACATTAATCATACTTCAAACAACAACACATTAGGCATCTTACGAAATTTTTTATGGTACATGTCTCTATTTTGCTTCCTGCCCAAAAGAATGAAGCTTCGGTTACACAATAACCTAGAGGTGTAGGTTTTCACGAAACATTTATGCTTCCTACACAGTTCAAGTGTTCAACAAAGTTCCGGTTAGACACTAATCATACTTCAAACAACAACACATTAGGCTTCCTATGCACCCAAATAATGAATCTCTTACACACTAATCATGTATGCTTCCACCATTACTGCATGATGTTTCAAGGAATTACATGTTGTCTACAACCCAATGTTTCAGAATATATACATTTCGAACGAATTTTTGGAGTACCTTTATTTTGGAAGCAGATTTTTCTGAATAATATATTTCCATTCCATGTGCTTCTATCGAAAAAAATGTTTCCATGGCGTTTGCGTTGCTGAGAAAAAACATCCAGAAGCAACTGATTTTCTTTATTTGTTTATTTATCGGAAGCAATTAGCGTAATTTCTGGAACCAGTTACTAGTTTGTTACTAGAAGCACAAAATTAGTTATCCATGGAGAGATTAGCGGGAGGAGATGCTATATACTACTCCCTCCGTCTAGAAATACTTGTCATCAAAATGAATAAAAGGAGATGTATCTACATGTATTTTAGTTCTAGATACATCCTTTTTGTCCATTTTGATGATAAGTATTTTCGGACAGAGGGAGTACGTGGGAGTGATTACTAGAAGCACTGATTTAGGAAGGAAAAATTCAGCGCCTAACCTTCATGTCAGATCAGACGAAATGTTAATCCAGCGGCCACCAAGACGATGGTACTAATAGAGCAGTCATACCAGAATTTATCACAACTTCTAAGTTGATCGGGTGGTACAGCGGCACATATGATTGGCGGAGGTCTCAAGTTCGACGCTTGCTTGTCTCATATCTCTTGAACATAAGAGAAAAACAAGGTGTAAGTGGGCCGGCCGTTTTGTGAGGGGGGTGTACCGAAGCAGAACATCCAAAAGAAGGTGGGCTATCCGCAGCAGGTCCTCCGTGTCGTCTCGCTGGTCTGTAGGAGGTCCAATCTGAGTATCGGTCAGGTCCTGGTAGAACCGGTATTTGCTGCCCGACGAGCTAATGTCGGCACGCTTGAGCGCCCACACCCTCTCCCCATACTTGACAACCCCCAGCACGAACACAAGGACAGCAGCACTCCGGAGCAGGGCCTGGGTGCCGACGACAGTGGACTCGTATAGGACGTAGGCAGCGGCAGCGACCTGCACGGCGAGAGCCTGCAGATGCCGCAGCCACAGCCGGTTGTCCTCGATGGCGTAGGCAGTGATGTTGTCCTCCCCGCCGAGGTGCAGCAGCAGGAAGGGCGCCCAAAACGCCATCAGCTGGTGGTCGGCTGACCTGCTCGTCAAGGAGAGGTGTCCGAGGGTGTAAGTCGCGGTCGAGTCGGCCATCATGTAGGCCGACCATATCACGGCCCTCAGCACACCGGAGTCCATGCGCCGGCGGAACTCCGCCAGCACGAGAAGCACTAGCTGCGTCGTGAAGCTCAGCAGCACCATCACTTGGACCACGTGTTCTTGCCATGGCTCCACTTGCAGCTCCACTCTCGCCATGGTTTGTTTCTCCTCCCGCTGAAATAACAAGATAGTACAAGAAAAGATTACGTAACACACTGGCCATCGTTTGTTTTCCCGGCCGTCTAATGTTTGGAGTGCTCCACGCTCAAGCTAATTAAGAGACAGAAACTGATCGGCAGCTGGATGAAACACGAAATACGGGTGTAACTTTACATGGGTGCTAGCAGGGGTGGGGAAGTGATGGATGGATCGATGATCCTGCACACACCCGCTCGCCCGCGCTGCCCTAGTACCACCACCAGAAGCAAGCTAGACGAAGAAATTTGAGGTGGGGCGAGAGAAGTTGAGCGCAGCTAGCTTTGTAGGATGAAGCCTCACGAAAGAGGTCCCGCAGCGTGCCCTTTCAGACAGCAGCGTGTCACCCACCACTGTGCATATGGTTCACGTATTCTCTCTCCGCTTCAGCGTCATCAATTAATGCATTCATTGGCCAACGACTAGCTGGCCAAACGATGCAAAACAACCAAAACGTCAGATGCATCTTCTTCCTCCTCTCGACAGCCCACACCGTCTACTTGTTTCACACAGTGATAGAAACTGCATGCATATATGCTCATGACAACCAAGCGACGTCACGGCATGTGACGTCATGTGCAAATCGTGTAGCACATACCTTGTTGTCAAGCTATGCTTGTTGTTAACCCGGGCTCTCCGCTTCGGCACCGTTATTAACATCGATTCAGCTCGGCCTATTGTTTTTCAATGAAGCTGCGAACGTACGCGGCACATGCTATATATTAGAGTGTTATATGGTGGAATGGTCGCAAGAACGGATGGAGAGAATAGAGGATGCGAGTTCGACGAACACCGGCCGGGGAGGCGGTTTGCTATACTCGTAATGTGTTTTCTTTTCCGAGTAAAAGGGAGTTTATTTCATATCAACAGGGTTACACAAGATAATGAATGAAAAGGGGGCCATGTTGCAACCAACAAGAGGTGCTACATGTGAGCGTAATTAGCGAGACATTGTGAAACCCTATAGTTTTAGATCTAGCTATCTTAGTATGTTTATTAAACTCCCTATCTAACATCAAATGCTTAATTTCCTTAACTAGTTGACCAAAACATGATCTGTCGAGTGAAGCATCCTTCATAGCATATAGGGCACCCAACAAATCATACTGCACGGGGATAGGCAATGATGGCCATTGTAGTGCAAGTGACATTCCAATCATGAGGGCCTTGATTTCTGCTTCCAGAGTATTATCGCAGAAAATTAGTAGCTCCCGCTGAGCCTTCCTCTGATGAAAAAGTTCCATCCACCAACAAGGCGAGCCAGTTTGCTCGTGGTTGTTCCCAAGGAATGTCTGCTGGCTTGTCCTTCACCTGAACCTAGGTAGGGACATGTGTAGGGCTCTTCCCTGTGATAATTTGTTCTGTTGTGAGAATTGAGCATTGCGAATCAAGCTGAAGTAGCTACACAAGAAAACTTTTGATGTTTCCACCAGAGGTATATCCTTACCATGAGTCAATTCATTTCGGAGATGCCAAACTCTCCAAATGAGGCGTGTGGAGGGATGTAAAATAAGATGGGAAGCGCATCTCCACCCATAGGTGGCCTCATGGTATATATTGATGTGTGGCGAAATCCTGCCATGGCATAAGTCTTGGACTATCACTAGGTTTCGTTCAGTTACATTGGAGATCGAGAGAGTGAGGTTAAACAGAGAGATTAGATATACAAAGCAGTTTAAACTGGATACTACCCCTATCTATCTGTATCGCTAACACTCCCCCCTCAATCTAAAATCTATGGTACTTTACCAAGATTACGATTGTATTTGAACTCATCTAACTTTCTCATTGTGAGAAGTTTTGAAAGCCATCAGCTAGTTGATCAATAGTTGGAATAAACCTTATGTCCAACAACTTGGGAGCTACTCTTTCTTTGAAAAAGTGGAAATCAACTTCAATATATCTTGTATGTACATGAAAACAGGATTAGCCGAGAGATATGTTGCACGAATATTATCACATGATAATCTCGCAGCTTGTGGAGTCGTAATTCCAAGCTCATATAGCAAAGTCTGAATCCACATTACTTCAGGTGTGGCATTTGCTAGACCCTTGTACTCAGCCTCAGTGCTTGATATTGAGACCATAACATGTTTTCTTGAACTCCATGATACAAGATTTGTTCCAGAGACACAACAAATCCACATGTTGATCTTCTATCATCAGCACACCCAACCCAGTCTGCATCAGAATATGCAGTGACAAGCATAGATGGGGACTTGACAATCTGAAGTCCAAGTCCTTCTGAAAACTTTAGATACCTCACAATCTCTTAAATGCAGTCCAATGCATGGTACTAGGTGCATGTAAATATTACACTTTGTTCGCAAAATAGGAAATAACATGACGCCTAAGAGTCAAATATTGTAATGCTACTATAACACTTATGTGTAAGAAGTATGTATGCCATCCTTTACCTGCTTGACCTCTATACCAAAGAAGTAATGAACATTTTCCAAGTCCTTGAGATCAAACTCCATCTTTAAATCCTTAAGCCGACAAGTAGTCACATCTGGACTTGAACTAGCAACAATTATATCATGACATGAACAAGCACAAATATAGTGGTGTTGCCTTTACTGTAAAAGAACAATGAGGTATCTACTTTAGATGGTGTAAACGCAAGTTGTTGTAACTATATTCTCAACCTTGAGTACCAGGATCTTGGGGTCTGTTTCAACCCATATAAAGCTTCTCCTAACGTACAAACATGATGAGATGTGCTCTTTTTCTCATATCCTGGTGGCTACCGCATGAAAACCTCTTCTTCCAGAACTCTATGAAGAAACACGTTTTGAAGATCTAGCTCTCGTAAGCTCCAACCTCTGGAAATAACAATGGACAATACAAGTCGAATAATAGTTGCTTTAACAACAAGAATGAAGGTATATTCATAATCAATAACAAATATTTGCTTGAATCCTTTTGCAACTAATCTAGACTTATATCTTTTTTAGAGGAAAAGGTCAGGAGAGCCCCAGCTCCATTGGATTGATCAATGAAACCCAAATATCCACAAGTATTAACACTCCAGCACCACAAATCAGCCAGTAGCTAAGGATAAGCCATGGCTTACTAGACATCTAACAACAAAAACAACAGTACTAAGAGAACCACTCCATGGCTACAAAGTTGCTTGCCATCACACAGGAGGCACCACAAATGGTTTTTTCATATGAAGCAGGAGCCACGGGTGAGGAAGGGAGTCTCCCTTCGCACTCCAGGAAGTGATACGTCTCCGTCGTATCTACTTTTTCAAACACTTTTGCCCTTGTTTTTGACTCTAACTTGCATGATTTGAATGGAACTAACCCGGACTGATGCTGTTTTCAGCAGAATTGCCATGGTGTTATTTTTGTGCAAAAATAAAAGTTCTTGGAATGACCTGAAAATCAACGGAGATTATTTTTGGAATATATAAAAAATACTGGCAAAAGAATCAAGGCCAGGGGCCCACACCCTATCCACGAGGGTGGGGGCGCGCCTCCTCCCTGGGCACGCCCCCTGCCTCATAGGCCCCGTGACGCTCCACCGACCTGAACTCCAACTCCATATATTCGTGTTCGGGGAGAAAAAATCAGAGAGAAGGATACATCGCGTTTTATAATATGGAGCCGCCGCCAAGACCCAATCTCTCCCGGGAGGGCTGATCTGGAGTCCGTTGGAGGCTCCGGAGAGGGGACTCCGTCGCCATCGTCATCATCAACCTTCCTCCATCACCAATTTCATGATGCTCACCGCCGTGCGTGAGCATTTCCATTGTAGGCTTGCTGGACGGTGATGGGTTGGACAAGATTTATCATGTAATCGAGTCAGTTTTGTTCGGGTTTGATCCCTAGTACCCATTATGTTCTGAGATTGATGTTGCTATGACTTTATTATGCTTAATGCTTGTCACTAGGGCCCGAGTGCCATGATTTCAGATCTGAACCTATTATGTTTTAATGAATATATGTGAGTTCTTGATCCTATCTTGCAAGTCTATAGTCACCTATTATGTGTTATGATCCGTTAACCCCGAAGTGACAATAATCGGGATACTTACCGGTGATGACCGTAGTTTGAGGAGTTCATGTATTTTCACTATGTGTTAATGCTTTGGTCCAGTACTCTATTAAAAGGAGGCCTTAATATTCCTTAGTTTCCAATGGGACGCCGCTGCCACGGGAGGGTAGGACAAAAGATGTCATGCAAGTTCTTTTCCATAAGCACGTATGACTATATTCGGAATACATGCCTACATTACATTGATGAACTGGAGCTAGTTCTGTGTCAGCCTATGTTATAACTGAAGGAAATATGCCCTAGAGGCAATAATAAAGTTATTATTTATTTCCTTATGATCATGATAAATGTTTATTATTCATGCTAGAATTGTATTAACCGGAAACATAATACATGTGTGAATACATAGACAAACAAAGTGTCACTAGTATGCCTCTACTTGACTAGCTCGTTAATCAAAGATGGTTATGTTTCCTAACCATGAACAATGAGTTGTTATTTGATCAACGGGATCACATCATTAAGAGAATGATCTGATTGACATGACCCATTCCATTAGCTTAGCACCCGATCGTTTAGTATGTTGCTATTGCTTTCTTTATGACTTATACATGTTCCTATAACTATGAGATTATGCAACTCCCGTTTACCGGAGGAACACTTTGGGTACTGCCAAACGTCACAACGTAACTGGGTGATTATAAAGGAGTACTACAGGTGTCTCCAAAGGTACATGTTGGGTTGGCGTATTTCGAGATTAGGTTTTGTCACTCCGATTGTCGGAGAGGTATCTCTGGGCCCTCTCGGTAATGCACATCACTTAAGCCTTGCAAGCATTGCAACTAAATGAGTTAGTTGCGGGATGATGTATTACAGAACGAGTAAAGAGACTTGCCGGTAACGAGATTGAACTAGGTATAGGAATACCGACGATCGAATCTCGGGCAAGTAACATA